AGTGCCCAGTATCCTGGGTGTGCAACGTGGCACCCAAGGCAGTGCCCGAGATGCCCAGACATGGAACATTGGACCCTGGGCAGTGCCTGGCGCCCTCAGGATATGTTCCCACTGCACCTCGGGTGTGTGACTGGACTGCAGCCCGGGTGGCCAGACCAGCGCTAGCTTTAATCTAGCGAACATGTCTAAAAATAGCAGCCAAGCTGAGGTGGCCAGAGGCTTCAGTGCCCCCCGGGACCATGTGACTCGCTCGTGCTGCTGCAGCGTCACTGCGATTGTTACTTGGGCTGGGCAATGCCCGGCACGCTGGGCGTGTAGCAGCCCACCCTGGCCGCCGCTGGACTCACCACGTTGCTCTTATGCACGGCCGGGTTCATGGTGAGCTGCACCACGAACCAGGTGGCATTTCGTAGGATGAAGGCTGTGATCAGGTTCCAGTGGATGATGTTCCGCAGGCACCTGATGCTCCTGTGCGCACAAGAGAGGATGGGAAGGGGCTGTTAGGACACCTTTGCCGTTCGGAGTCAAAGCGGTACCATCCTCTGCCCTATCTAATCTTTCCCCCGCCTCCCTGATGTCCACCGGCGGAGCTGGCCAATCAGTGCCAAGCGCGGGGTGGAGTTTGTGATGGGGGAGCTGGAGCTGAGACCCACCTAACTCATTGCAACCCTAAGAGCACCCCTCGGCCAGAGGGCAAGGGGCTCACTGGTATCATATGATGAGTTTCAGCTGGCCTGACCAGTTCAGTGAACCCCAACACACCAGGGGTTATACTCTGTATCTAAAAGGGTGACACACCCCCTCACAGGGGTCTAGATCTCGCCCCAAACATGGTGACACTCATCTCAACCTTCTACTAGGTGGGAGCAGCTCTTCGTCCCCACTGAACTGGGCTGCAGGCAAACTGGTGACCTACAAGGGACTTAAGGGGGTCCCAGAGCCCAGACTCTAGCCCGAGCCCGAATGTCTACGCCACAATTTAACAGCCCCACAGACTGAGTCCTGTGAGCCCGAATCAGCTGACCCGGGCCATCTGCGAGTGTTTAATTGTTGTGTAGAGGGACCCTAAGTCCCTGTAGAGAGGAGACTTAGTGGTGACTCTCCACAGTGCTCTGTGTGTGTGTGTGTGTGTGTGTGTGTGTGTGTGTGTGTGTGTGTGT